AAACCTCACATGCACTATGCTAGGGTTCGATCTGGGTTATGTTGGGCCTTGATGAGGACGTCAAGCTAATTGAGTTGGGGATATTGTAACATCTCATTAGTCCCAAATCGAAAGTGGGCAATGTGTATGATTAGTTTGTAAGGGCCTGATGAGTGTACTACGTTAACTCCCACTTAAGCATTTTGGTCCGTCGTTGAGGACCAAAATGGAGTTATTGGCCAGTTAGCTCATCAGACCTGGGTCGTGACAATAATAAACAGATGGTATTGAACTGAACGGTAAATTTACCCCCCGATATCAATGACACTCGTTGTTTCTTTTTTCTTCTTTCTTTCTCCTCCTCTCACACTCTCTTTCACTTCCTCTTCCTTGAAAATACACTCTCTTTCTCCTCTATCTTCTCTTTGATCCGAACAATACTGATCCTTCCTTACCAATTACTTAGGTATCGACAAAGAACCTGGATATCTTAATTCCATGATAAGAAGACTACTGTTTCTTTTTCTGTTCCTTTTTCTTTAATATGCCTACAACAGATAGTGCATAGGGTTTGAGTTATGCACATTTTACTGACAGTTTGAAGTATTTAACCAGAGTAGTCTTCACAAAGTGGGAGAATAACCGGGTGTATAATATGTCAGCACAAGCAACTAGATTTCACTTTCCAAGCCTTACAATATTAAACTATGTTGGTTGTAGTGGTTCATTTGATATTTCTTCCTGCTAATTTATTTGAGCCTCGTAACAATGAGTATAATGATTAATGTTGAAACTGAATGGCTTTTAAGATAAAGAAAATCTAAGATCTACAGAATCAGAGCCTCTATAATCTGAGACATGGTATGGAAGGTAGGGATGGAGTAAAAACTAACTGATCATCTTCGTGTAAGTTTTTGACAGATTCACTTATAGAGGAGCCAAATCGTGTATAATTTGATTATCCTCGAGGACCTCTAAACAAAATGATTCTGTTAAGAACAATTTGTAGGCATCATAAGAAAACTCACTTAGAACATACCAGTCAATATATACTCCGGAGCTGTATATCCATAAGTACCCATCACCCTGGTGGAAACATGTGTTTGCTCTCCCATGGGCCCCTCCTTTGCGAGGCCGAAGTCTGATAGCTTTCCATTATACTCCTGCATATTATTAATACGGGACATTGTTCAAGACTATCTCATCAGTCATTCACTCAAACCGATAATGTTGTGTTTTTACTACATTCGTATGTTCAAGACTATCTATTCAATTGAAATTCCCAACAAGAATGAAAACTGTATTTAGAGAAGATAAACGTATATTTAGAGGGTGATGAAAGAAGAGACCAAACCGCATCAATCAGGATGTTTGATGCCTTGAAATCACGATAGATGATGGGTCTTTCAGCTCCATGAAGAAAAGCAAGCCCTTTTGCAGTATCCAGAGCAATCTTCATCCGAGTCAACCATGGCAAGGTAGCACATGACCCTGATATCAAAAAGTAGTATAAGATCATACAACAATTAACCATACCAATAGGCCAGAATGTTCATTAGATATATTTTCCAATTGATTTAGATCATTCTTCATAACCTTAAATAGCTTTGAAAACTTGAAAGAGTAGTTGTGCTGCAGACCCTAATTCATGAAAGCAGAAGACTTGTCTTGTGACTGATGCTCTAGAAATAATGTACTAATAACAAGTTTCTTGAAAAGAAATATCTGCACTTGATTACTATTCCAAATGATGGAATATGGCACATAATGTGTTGGAAAAAAAAAAAACAATGAACATTAACTTTTTCTTGATGAACAAACTTTTCTAGCAAGACTGTTGAATTCTTACCGTAAAAAGGAGCTGATTGAAAAAGCAAAGATACACACCATCTTCTAATTTATCAAAATCAAACAGTGACTTCAAACAGAGAAAGAAATCAACTTAACAATAGAGAATCAACATCATACTTCTGAAAAGGTGCTTTTCTAGGCTCCCATAGGCCATGTACTCGTAAACTAGCAGCCTATGTTCATCCTCACAGCAGTAGCCAATAAGCTTCACAAGGTTTGGATGGCTCAACTGCCCCAGATAGTTCACTTCTGCCTGGCAAACAAACAAGAAGCCCATGAACTAACTGTGAGCCTCTCAGATAGATATATACTGTTCCAGGCTTTAATCAAAATCCAATTTTTCTTGACCAATTGCAAGATTGAAATCATGATCCTATCGAGAGAATTTTACTAGACATCACATGCATAATAAAGACAGTAACTTCACACTGTTAATTAGAAGTCCAAGACACGAAGGTTACCAGCCATTCCTTGTGCCCTTGGAATCCCCGTGGATTAAGCTCTTTAACAGCAACTAGAGTGTACTCAAGACCAGGTCTGACATTGTCATCTATAGCACCTTTATAGACGAGGCCAAACCCTCCCTGACCAAGTATTTTATCTGGACGGAAGTTATCAGTAGCCAGCCTCAATTCACCATATGTAAACGTGTGGAGATTGCTATAGCCGGCGATCTCTTGAAGGTCTATAGCATCTCGTATCGGAGGCTGCCTCGCAGCATCGCTGGTGCCATTTGCGAACGTCTCTTCCCCTACAAAAGATGGTGCCGAAGAATCATTACCAATTCGAACTGAGGAAGACTTCGTTGAGTATTATTGCAACGAAATATCAATCATGGCAACATCTAAAATACACCAAAATAAGGTCTTGAGAGTAGTTCAAGAAACAGATAGGAATCGGAGCTTTCCCATCGCTGGTCATGATTGGGTTTAATTTGCTTCCACTAAATCATGTCAACACTATGCAATCAAGTATAGTGCAGATGCAGCCAAATCCTCCGACGCTAGGGTTCTATTCAACAGATGCATTAATGCATCACGATTTGCGACCACCAATACATCGGTGACGAATAATGACGAAAACGAATCGAATTATCTCTTCGATTATTTCTTCAGATGTGTTGGGAGAAATCACCTGACACCGGAAGGGGGCCTCTCAACGAAACGCAGTTCCCCATGAAGGAGACGGAGAGAGGACGTCAGCGCCGTCCGTCCATTTCTCCCCTCTTCCCACTCCCCCCCCTTGATCTGATGGACCGAAGAGGGACCTGGCGGCGGAGGCGGGCCCGATGTGCCCCCCGGAGGGGCTTCGAGCCCTTCGAATCGCCGGGCGCAAGAGCGAAGGGAAGCGAAGAGAGGCGGGACGAGGCACTTCGGCGTCATTTTATCTCCACCGAGATGGCAGATCCTAAACGTACACGCGCGTGTACGTTTCGCGGCATTACCCGCCCTTCGTCGCCACAACACCGGCTTGATTCGGTCAAAAGCATTGTGATTCCCGAACTGGGGCCTACCTTGCTTGGTTTCTCACCGGTACGCGCGCGTGCGACTTACGCGTCTCGTGTTGTTTAACCTTTTATCTGAGGTGGAGGAAGATTAGGCGACAGAAACGGTAAAAGGCGGTCACGAGACTCCTCAACCGACCTGTAGCCTGATTGGAGGTAGAAATGGGGCCCACTTAAGGTGCCCTCCAACCATAACCAGAAACGCCTGGAGACGTTTAGTGCCCTGCAAAAGAACTTTCAGATTAAGTCGATCCAATTCAAAAAACCTTTATATATATATATATATATATATATATATATATTGCTGTTGCTTTGTACAATTTAGTAGAAACAGAGGAGAGAAGAGCAGTTGTGATGACAGCATGGAGGTTGCATGAAGGATAAACAATGGATTCAGTGCAAGTTGGGAGGTCTCAACTTAGCTTGATTCTGATCCATGCTTCATAAGCTTCTTAAGGATGCATGGCACGGCCAGCTGAGTGCCGATGGTGGTGGAGCGGCGGCCTCGCGAAAGGCAAATGATGCCACCGAGAAGCAGAAGCCCATTTGCTAGAATCCACCTCTTGGGAGACCTCGATGGCTTCTTCTGTGATATGTTCGCTCTACTGCGTCTGCCGGAGACACTGCTTGATCTCTTTGGAACTTCTTCCTCGCTTGTCTCAGCATTTGCCTCCAACTCCGGTGGGATCTGAGTGAGGACAAAGTCCAGTTTAGAGTCAATAGAAATTAGCATACAGAAATTATTTGTAGATGCAGAACATATGGATCAGCTCAAAATTTGGCATGAGTCAATAGAAAAACAAAAGTCACAATGCATTTCGGGATTGCAGAATAACAAAGATTTGACAAACTATGAACTCTTCCATTCAAAACAAACTTGCATATGGATGACTAAATCATGTAGAAAACTATATCCATTATGCTTGCTAAGTGGCCAACCTTAATGGTTAGAATGTGAGTTATTTTCCCTTTTTCCCCCTCGATACCATAGAAACAGTAAACGGTGCAGAGTTGTAATAGTAATGCTAACCTTTTTGATAAGTCGATGAAGAGTAGAGACTGGTGTCAAGTGAATTGGACTGCAGGAGGAATATTCACGCAGTGCATTGTTCATCTTAGACACATAGCTCCATACTCCCTTGGCAAATCCCAGTTTTACCATCTCAATATTGATGCCGGCATCCTCCTGATGAACCAGTGTCATCTCACATGCATCCCTACCGGGAACTGTGACAGAAAGCTTCACCTAATTAGCACTGGATAAAGGACTGAGACGAGAGAGTAAAACATAAAAAGATGAGTAACAGTAGACAAGAAACTACACTGATTCAGAACACATGTTCCTCGAGCTTTTCTATAATTACTACAATCAGGATTGTTCATACTGGTTTATTTTTGTCAACTGTGGGAACAAATCAACTAATGAGTTATCTGAATGCTGACATCCAAAATCAAATTCATGGCAGAATTTATATCTTGGGGTTTTGGATTGGTTTATAAGAGTACCAGATGTTATACACATGCTGCAGAATTCAATATCAGTTAGGCAGATCACAAACATACAAGTGACTCGAGTCAAGCATTCTGGCCTATTCAGTACAAAAGCTCAAAATTATGACACGAAAGAGAAGTTTTTGACATTGGAAATTATCTTTTAGCTAAACTACGTTGGCAAGGGTTTCCATTGCAGGTCAATCAAGGTTAGTGGCTGTTTTGTGAGATAAGTATAATTAAACTGGCCTTATTATGGACTAGAACTTCATAATAAAGAAGAATATGTATTAATGTTTTTGATACCATAAACCTAGTCAATCCATGCCTTCAAGAAGCACACAATATAAAAAACTTATTTCTCAATGATATTAAAGTCACAAATTTGATAACAAAAATCTGCTTGCCTTTTCTTATGCGCCAACCTGATCTTAAAAAACCAACACGAACATATTTATTTTGTCTTACAGACATAGGATGCTCACAATCCTACAAAAACAGTTCCAAATGATATTAGAGAAAACAGACCTTGGAGCAACATTATCAAATATGAGAAAAGGCAAATCTCAAAAGACTTCAAGACATATGACAACAAGCTTTAGTATCATCTGGATCGAATACTTTCCCCAATTATTGGGTAGAATATTTCCCACCATTTTAAGGGCAATGCCTTGCATTGACTGAGCATAATCTTCAAAGACAGCTTCACATGCCTCTTAACTAAAACTGTTCGTGCAAAAATTTCTGATTTATTTTTTGCATTAGACATTTCGTGATGATCGATATTACACATTTGAAAAACTAATCTCCAATAACTTAGGAAACACTGCTGTAGAATAAGCCAGAAAAAATTCTCTATGACTGCAGTTGACAGTATCAGCAGACAGTATAACAAATAGAAACATTGACAACAACGTCATAACAGGTCCTAATTACTAGTAAATTGGTACGAATATAGAGAGAAGACGAGAACTAGAATTGCTAAGTCAATGCTTTAAAGGTAATTTATCAAATTGTTTAGGGAGTCTATTCCGAGTAGATTATGATCAAGTCTTTATTGTAAGAAATACAGGGTCAAGTGAATTGTTAAGACATACTTCCAAGTTTGGATGATTTACAAATATTTTGTCTGGGACAAAAAGTTTAACTTGATTCCTATAATTCTAGATACATTAAGATCCAAACAAAGGTACTGATGTCTGCTTGAGTATCACTAAACAGATGGCACTTCGGCTAAATATAATGGTGCCTTTTGTTGCCGAGAAATTTTTTTTCTTGCAGCAACAATGCTCCTCTCCTCTTTTTTTTTTATCCCTTCTATTGTTTTTTTTCATCCATTTCTGTTGTACTTTATTTTCTGTAATAATATAGTCTACTATCAGGTACCACCCTATTTGAAAGACATCCAAGATCCGGGCACAGAGTTCATGTATCATAATAAGATGATGACAGCAAGCAATATGATGCATCTTGAGTTATTCTCATGTTTCAGTTATTATATTAGATATCTGGGTTTCTTTCATTAAGGTAAAGTCTGTCATCAAGCTAATGCATAACATAAAATGTGTTGGTGCAACGCAACCCCATTACTAATACTAGCTGGTGTTCTTTAGATTAAGTGAAGCTTGAGCTTCACCAAAATAGAACATAAAAGACAAGTTATGCAGCATGAACTCCAGAGGTAAAACATGCAGGAATCAAAGTGATACATGATTCAAGGTACTAACTGAACATGCAATTATGTATATGAGCTTGGTGGCTGAAAAAGATTTTTCGACTTACCTTGGTAAAGCAATAAAAGGTTTTGTCTTTTCCTTCCCACACGCGCCATGCCAATATATATTCTTTTGGTGTCAGGAGAGGGAACTTTTTAATACAACGTCCAATTTCTGTCCCACTATTTTCATCTACCTGCAGCTGCTCGTGGTGAATCACAATGTTGTCCCACTTTCTTCTGTACTGATTGTCCATGTAGAAATCTCTTAATAGCTCTGCAGAACATTTCTCGAATGTTGTAACGCTGTAGAACTTCAATGGGCCATCCTGCAAACCATGCATATTTTTGAGTCAGCCTGAAACACTGCCCACAATTTGCTTTAGTAGAAGGTTTGCTTGCTCTATAGTATTTTCTTCAGCTTGCATGAGTTTAAAGAGTTATCCTAATATAATAACTAATTCCTGAAGTTCAAATTAGAGGCAACTAAGAAAGAATTCTGATGTATATGACCAACAGAAAGCACAAAACCATCTCTGGCTGCATTCGGTGCACCGGCTAAGATGGTGTAAGTTTCAAGTGAAAGAACATTGAGATAATGCTAGATGGCAAGAGTTTTAGTAGTGATCTATTCATTAGCATTGAGACAATGCTAGATTGCAATTATGAATATCATATCATCTCTTGGAGTCAAATGAGCCTAAATTTCTGACTGGGATTTAAGAACAATTAAGAGGAAAGCTCCATTAAATAATTAAACAGTAAGCATACTTATCTGACTGATGTTTTAGGCAGCAGATAGTAGCTAGTTCACATATTAACAGCTCCAACAAGCCATTGTTCCTTCTTCTTTTGTCAATCGCTTTTAACAATAATGCTATCATGAAGTCGAGAACGATTGACAAGGTGAATAGGCATGCATTTATGGGAAAGTTTCCCTCCTAATACATTGGAAGCTCTAAAGAGATACCATAAGAAGAATCAATTTAGTCCATGTATATGAGTGGCTGGTTCAAAGGACTGAGTTCATGAATGGTCAAACACATGAAAACACCAGATGATTAATCAATAAGTCATTTCTAGAAGCTACAAAGATTCGCCTGCATAAGATCGGAATTGAAACAGATGAAAGGTGCATACTTTTGGACGGGAGAACTTTGCTTTATAGGACACAAGATTACTGGTTTTATCAATCAGATCTTCCCATCTCTCGTTCCGTTTGGGTTTCCCCTCCAAACTAATCATCAAGTCTCTCAGATCAGCATCGGTGATGAGGTTGGATACCCTGCAGCAAGAGCCACGACAACCTCATCTGACTAAAATCGACAAAGAGCGATCGAAAGCATAAGGGTTTAAGGGCAAACCTTGCGGAAGAACCTCCTCTAAAATACGCTCCGGAGATCGCCACGGGGCGGCGGCAGTAGAAGAAGAGCCGCAGGAGCTTCCACGACACGAGGAGCATCACCACCACCGTCGCCCAGCCGCCGCCGGCGCTTTCCGGCCAGAGCTCGTCCAAAGCGAGCAATGTTCCCGCCGAATTCGAAGCAAGGATTCGGAGTCTGTCCATCTTGTTGTTGGCGGAGAGATCAGAGGAAGAATGAAGGGTGGAGGCGGGGAAAGAGAGAGAGAGAGAGAGAGAGAGAGGGAGGGAGAAGATTTGGATTCTTTGCTTGGGAGTTGGAGGGAAGAAAGAGGGGCTGAGTTTTGGATTCTTTGGTTTTTTTAACGCTTTTTTATTGCGTATTAAACGTTTGGTTGACTGAAATAGTACGCGACCATTTAAATGTTCCTTTTCTTGGATATAATTAATTACATGATAATCAACATCAGAACTTTGAATTCCAATTTAGATGTATTTGCATCATAAATAAAGTTTACATGCAAATTGTTGTCAGATTCGAGATCCATGGGATTCGATAAGAACACCTTATCATGATCTCTATATTCTATCAGGCCAACATAGATTATTACAAAAAAAAAAAGGACAATGTATTTTTTGAGAAAATAAAAAAGTCTAAATTAATTTCTTCATACATTAATTAACATTTACAACATGCTTTTCTTTTGATTAACATTTCGATTTAAAATAACGTGGACCAGATATGTTCAATATTTCTTTAGAATTCATATGCATCATCATCCAGGCATATCTGTCTAGCATTTTCCTTTTTGTCTTTTCCGATAGCCAACGGCAAACTCTCAGAAAAGTATTTCCACATACAAAATCAACAATCGATGATATATAGTCAGCCCCTCGGTTGGAGAATAAGAAATCCTGCATGCTAAAAGATGGTTTCCACATCAATCCTACTCTACATGGAAGATATGGATGAGATTGCATTCGTACTGAAAGTGAGAAGCAAGATGATCATGGTACATGTAGCTGCAATGAGAAGTTTCACTTATAAGCTGCTCCGTGGCAGCGTAGTGTGAGGTTCCAAATGCTCAGCCATGCGTTTGTCGTCATAATATTGTTGGACCATGAAGTTACTGAAGGTCCTCGACACAACATACTTCTTCTCACAAGTCTCGTCTTTTCCTGTTGGAATCCAGATCTCGGTATATAGATGCAATGACTCATCATAGGATCACATGCAAGGCTGATAGCCATCTACTTTGCAGCACTAGAGGATTCCATCTTGTTTGTAGGGACGGGAACAGAGGTGTCGCTTGCTGACTCATCTCGTCGCCACTGGAGGTGAGATTTCGTGTAATGTCTTTGGACAGGAACCTTCTTGTACAATTCAGGATACCGTGGCTGTGGAAGCTTCATAGAGGGCGGAGTCTGTGTCAAGGATCCTGGAGACATATCTGCCTTTGGCATTACCTGATAAAGACAGCATGCAACAAGAATCACATGATGATCCATTAGCTATGCCTTTGATCTTTTGTCATTGCCATAGCAGATGTAGGTAAATCAATGTTAACGCATGAATACAATCATATTAATACAGCACAAAACGGTAGATGATAATTTGAAGTGAAGCTTTACTGAGGGCAAAGCTTTAGCATCCACCTGATAGAATTAACCTAGAAACTTCCAGGTTATAGGGGTGCATATAAAAGTTCTCTCCTCTAAAACTTCAACATACTTAACAAATATGAATGAATTATTATTGATTGCTCAGTGCAAATTTTCCTGTTTTGTAATGGTCAGTCTGTACATGTGATGTCCGCTAAAGTCTCACAAAAACTCAAGCTCAGAACGATCTATAATGAAGGTCAAATTCACAATACCAAGCAGAGTAAAAGAAAAATATCAGTCAAGTCAAAGCCTTTAAACATTATTTTTCCATCTATCCTCTACATTAAAATTCAACACAAAACTTCTGTATTTCAGTGACCTCAATATTTGAGACATTGCATCTTGTAATATCTGCTACCAAAATTCCATCCAAAAAAATTGTGGGCGTGTGACTCTCTCGCAAAGTTTACTGGTAGAGCAATGTTTTCAAAAAACGCTAGGTGCCAAAAGACGTCAAGGTCTCAAAATACCCGATGTGCTAGGCGCTTGCCTCAGCACCCGCCCGAGTGAAGCGAGACAGTCCAAAACATTAAAAATTTTAAAATATATATTACGATTGATAAATATGATCATAAAAATAAAAATGACACAATATGATTTCTAACCGGTGCTAAACAGTTCTGAAGAGTGGAACAATATGGTGCCAAACAATTCTAAAGAAGAAACTGAGAAAGAGGAGTAATCGACGATTGTGGAGGAAGGAGAGGGCGACGGACGAAGCTACGAATGAAGGCAACGACGAACATAGGGTTTCACTTCGAGTTTGTCTCAGTGGGGTAAGCCCCAACGCTGGGTGGGGGGGGGCGTGGTTTGTGTTAAGGTACATTGGTTCGATTAAACCAACTTGCTCGTTCAATCGAACCAAGCTCAAATCCTGACCAAATTTCACTCGGGTGCTCAGTCGAGACACTCAACGACTAAGAACATGCAAGTTCCCAAGCGACACTTCATCGAAACGCCTTGCCCAGAGGTATTGCAAGGCGCTTGGGCCTCATCACACTTCATCCAAGAGCCTAAGCAAGCACCTTTTAGAAACACTACTGTAGAAGCATAACTAAGGTAACAACATGACCTTATCTATGAACGTCATATATCAAGTTATGGAAGAGCCAAATGGTATATATTTTTTCTTATGATGTAACATTAAGTCTCACCATATACCTTATACTATTTTTAGGCACAAACAATCTCAAACAACTGTAAATTCATGTATAATTCAATTTCACCATACCGTCAATGTCCGAGAAAAGAATGAGGTCCCACTCAATGATATTGCCTTATCAACTGACCATTTGTTGGCAAAGACGATATATGCTTCCCTGGAAGACAAATATTAGGTAGGATGATCAACTTATTTCAGCATATAAAAGATGATCGATAGCATGTGTATCTCTAAGAACAAGAACAAAGAAAATGAATAACAAAGTTACCCTTTTGGTTGACCAGTTGTCGTGTCAGTTAGCATAGTCACTTTAGCAATTGATCCACACTTCATAAAATGTGATAATAATGCTTCTCTTGATGCCGCAAAATGTACCTGAGTCACAGCACTAAAAGCATCAGACATCTATTGTCCTTATAGAGATATAGAGGCAAATAGTTCATCAAGCTTATTACTAACACCATGACCTTATTAACAAGAAAGAATAAACATTAATAGCAATGTCAACTTGCAAACAGTAAAATATAATTGATGTAAACACTTAGAAAAGCATGATTTTTAAGAAAACTGAAAGAAAGAGAACCAAACATAAAAGAAACCCCACATGTAAAAAGTTGTGTGTATATTTTGGTTTAACCTTTTCCTTTCATCCTATCATTTCTCTGAGAATCTTAAAACAACTTCTATCCAGGATCTAATATCCTAATTCTAGGAAGTATAGCATACATGACAATAATCAGACCAATGAATGTACTGAAAACTAGATCATGCGTGCAGATATTTTTTTTAGGCATGCAGATTTTAACTTGTTAGAAACTTAGAATATTGTACAAACTGAGATACTCTCCATAAATCCATTAAAAAATAAATGAGAAATCCTATGGAGGCAAGCAGAATTAGGCATCAGGAACTCTAAAGATCTACTGCATCCACATGCATTCCAGGCTTGCAGCTACACTTGGAGTGCTAATTAAAGTCTAAGTCCAATTACATCTTTTGGTAAAAGTGCTGAGCAATCTGATATATTTTGTCCACCAAATTTCATGTTGACCACTGTGTTTGCATATGCCAAAATGAAACTAACATATTAAGAAATAAAGCTAGAAATGTAAACTCTGCTTGTTTTGCTGCTGAGTACATTTGTGACAAAAACGGTCCTTGATTCAGCATCTTCCTTCAAGCTGTTCTGCAGACCTGCGAGAAGGAGATTAATTTGCAACAAACAGTTCAGAATGTGACACTTCAAGCTCAAACACTGATCAGAATACCATCCTAAGCCTATAAGAAATTCAGATCAACATAACTAGAATGTTCTCAAACACTGATCAGGATACCATTGTACACCTATATGATGTTAGAAGCAACATAAGAAGGTAATCCATTCTCAATAACCACTTAACAGAATGAGGGCTATTAAAGATTACAATGACTGATCAGATTAACATGTTATGCCTACTAAAATAATATGAGAAACTGGAAAAAAAGATAATATAAGCAACAACAACAACCAAAAGAAAAAAGAATAATATATACACCACTGGAAAATAATCAAATGTCACTGGCACAACTGACATGGAAAATCTACAACACTGAACAAAACCAATCGATAGAATAAACAAGCAAAAATATGTTTTCCCAAAACCATCACAAAGATATAAATCCATCACTTGAGATATTTATCACATGTAATAGATATATTCTACAATATAACCATATGTTGAGCACTCGTTTTATGCATAATTGCACCCATAAGAAACAGTGTACAAATTGGTAGAAGATCAACAAAGTCATTGAACTAAATTCTGGCACTTGACTTTTTATGAGACATGCCAGGAATAAGCATGTCAAAACCAAGAAAAAGCTGCACAAGTTGACAGAATAGAAGGCTAAAAGTCAAACATGTATCAGCGATATACTCTGACCATCTGACAATGACATGCAATACCTGAAGTACATAACTAGCTATAGTGATATGAATAATGCATGACTTATTATGAAATTAAAATTAAATGTGACGAGCAAAATCATGCATTAGGAACTTTAACAGCTCGAGCAATAGAGAATAAATTGTCACTACAGCTTCTTGGCTGATTAAAAACAGAAGTTGAATGAAGACAAAAAGCTGGCTGATGCCTTCAGCTTCACAATCTATAAAATATAGATGCAACAAACCATATAATTGAAATGATTCCAGAAAAATCTTCCATAGAGACATATTTCAAAAAGCAAAGTATCAAAAACAATGGCATTGTATGACCTGATGGTGGGACAGGTTTTGAGTTATTCAAATTTGCCTGCTTTGAACGGAGCATATGCATATCCTTCTCTACTTGATGTAGTTTTAATTTTAAATCAAGCATTTCCTGCACATGAAATTAAACAAGAATAAAAATGTCAATCGTTAGAAAATTCCATAAACTCGGCATGCCTTGTGTGATATCTTACATTTTGCACGGGCCTAGTTCCACTGTTTTCACTTGCATATTTAATGGACTTGGATTTATATAATGCTGAACTACCACTTGGAACTGCATTCTGCATTGCAGTTGTTGATGAAGTGTTCTCCTTCAACAGAGATTGAACTACTTTATCAGCAGGTGCTTTATGCTCACTCAAAGATCTCAATGAAGAGAGTTCCGGTTCTGGAAACATTCCGGTAGTCCTTTTTGCATTAGTTGCTAACTCATTTGACCTAGGCAAACATTGATGTTTAACAGACAAGGACCCTTTTGTCCTGTGAAATGTGTCTTTATCTTGCAGAAAATTTTCCTCGCTGCCAGAAAGAGATGCTGAAGTGTTGCCACAAGTAGTACCATTATAATGTCTCTTCCTTTTTGATCTAACCAATTGATCAAGTGAGCCCTGGGTAGCATGCTCCTTTATATCATATCCCCCTGGATGATTGTTGGATATTATTTTTCCATGACCTTTATCAAGTACAGCAACCTTTTCGGTCTCGTCACTGATTAGTCTTGTATATGGCTTAACCAACATTGGCCTTGGATCTTGAAGTTCTTCTACATTATTGTTTATTTTTTCTCTTTTGACGATATGATGTTTTTCCACTCCCAATATAGACTCATCGTCTTTGCATGGTTTGCCTAGCCTATCCCAAACGTTACCACGAGGCCGAGCAATTTGAGCCTCTTCAACGACCACATTATTTGCAGAAAACCTCCTTTGAACATCACTTCTAATGGATAGATATTTAGGTTTAATATCCTCTGCAAGAATAAAAGATGCTGCCGATTATAAGATGCATATAGAAGCACTGCAAGATGTTAGACATTTATTTGTCTCTGTTAACCGCCTAGATATGCTTGAAATTTAATTTTGAAGCATTACTCAACAGTTGATAAGGAGTTTAGCAATTTCCTATTGGATTAAATAAAGAAGAACATTGTGATAATATATAAAGCAAACAAGCAAGAATTGCCTTTGATTTTCCAGAAGAAAGACAAGGAAGAAAGAATACTTGCCCCTAATAATTGGTTGTGAATTCTTCGCAACTTGTTCTGTCTCTGGCACATGCAAAGGTTGACAAGGCAATGCACTTGAATTGCTTTCAGCTATCTGTTCTACCATATGAATGGTGAAGTTAGATACTGCAGCCCCTTTAGAAATTAACATGATATCTAAGACAAAAGGCTTAGCCAATCAACCTTCTGCTGCTGACTTTCACCTTGTATGCGTTGCTCACCACCAGAAAATGTTTTAGGAGAGAACATCAAGCTAGCTTTCATATATAATTTCAATCCACTTTGATTTTTGTTGGTTAAACCCACCTTGTCATAAGCTGCACATGCTTGTTCCTGTGGTACATCTGTATGCACATCAACAGAAGGGCTATAACTGGGACACCAATCTTTACACCTCTCTGAATCTTCAATTTCGTTTGTGGAACTGAAGTTTCTGTTGTAGCTTGATGGATCACAAATACTGCCCATAGACTGAAATATAGATCACATACATGGAATGAATAATTGGAATGTTCGAGGCTAATTGAATTTAAATGAAATAACAAGTCTAGGATAGTCTAAATAATCTCATTAATGGATCTAGGCAGCAGGTAATAACTCAGGAGATGAACCTAACACCAAATTATTTCATTAGTCTTCAAAAATACATGCCATCGAAGTTTCATATTATCTAAAACAAGTATTTCAACTTAGAGGAGAAAAATAAACATTTCACTTCATTGAAAGCAATATTGCACTATCCATATAAGCAAATTCATTGACAACACATACATAATGATAATGCATATGAATTTATAATTATCTTTGTTCAGACAAATATATACCTATAAATTGCAGCCAACAATATGTTCAATACTCGTGTGTATATTTACATATATGGAACATGTGTGATTGTAGATTTACATATATTGCAGTCCTAGCAAGCATATAGTTAGCATCCTGTGGCTTGATTACACCTATGCAGGTAGCACAGAAGCCTAAGTTAACTGCATAAAACAACAAAGGCCTGAACTTCAAAAGGCCTATTATTTTGTATTTTTCAACAAGCATGATTACTGATCACCTTGGTTTTTATGTCCAAAGAGTCGAGTTGCGGCTTTGAAACATTTATTTGATCAGATAGATAATCCCAAAGCCTGCAGAAAACCATAATCAACATCGATAAGCAACAACAAGCACATAACATAACAACATACTAGTAGACAAACAATATAAAATTTGAAATACCATGCTACAAACTTTTCACTCTCATTGCCAAGAAATGCCTCCAGGTCATCTCGTGCTTGATTCTGATGTTTCCCATTGCAAACAAGAACTATGATGTACTCCTGGATAGTCAAACAGGACAAAAACTAAATGTGATTGATTCCCACCATACTGTGACGCTGAACTTCAACAATGAAATTTAACCAAAAAAAACAAACAAATTAAATGACACGATTGTAGCATGGTTTAACTAAATTGAAGACACCAATATACAGTACTTCCATTTAAAGAATGCCATGTTGAACCGCACCTCGTAGCCGTCTGCAGCAATCAATACACTATAACAAAATACAAGGAGAGGCTAAATATGTTTTCTCCCTCATCCTAAAGGAAAAACGTTGGGTCTGTTGAACACTTTCTGAATGCAGTAATAACAAGATAAGCATGATGCATGCACTATGTTCAAGAAATCTATTATCGCACTCCGTGACGCCAATCTAATCATCAAGAAAGCTACGATTTGCATCCTGGTGCTAACTGAAAGGTCACAGTCCAGAGACCTTTCTCCACACGGCCCGCATAATCCAAACCCAACATTAGAACACAAACTGGAAGAAGGACGAAACTCCCACGCCGCCATCAATGGATCAAACAAAAACCCTACCCTTGCAATTTGGGTTCGCAACTAAGGGCATCGCTGGATGCACCACATCAACGACATCAAAATAGACTGGATAAGATGGGAGGTTGTGAAATCTTGTACCGTGAGGACATCATCGGAGTAGCTACCGAGGAACTCGAGGAGCTTCCTGGACACGGCGTCCCGGAGCGCGGACGCCTCCGGAGACCTACGATCCATCTTGAACGATCTCGGTTCGGACGAGAATACGTTCGCCTCCGCCCTCGCGGTCGCGGCCGCAGTCCCGGCCGGGGTATCGCGAGGGTTTCGCTCCGCCATTTCACTGCCTCCACCTCATTCTCTTGTTGCTTTTAACCTTCGTTTCTTGGATTTGCGTGCGTAGAGAAGTGGATTAATTGCATCGGTAGTGGTGGTAATTGAGACGAGCAAGACTTCTTTTACCGCTTTGGTTTTACCACGAATGCAACCATCCTACTGATTGTTATTGTACTGGGACCCACAAGAAATCCCCCGCAGAACCATATTCCGGTCCTTGGGAGGTAGATCGGTGGGTTCGGTCGAGAGACTTGCATCGTGCTATTATTACCCCCGAAAAAACGGCTATTATCATATTTAATCTCCATAATTTTAAATATAATATATAAAGGCCGATTTTCCTAGAGAAAGATCCAAACAATACCTCTAATTCGAAAATATCTAAAATATCTCTCATCAATTCTTTTCATTATTTTTTTATTTTTTTTATCAATTTTAAATTATTATAGTATTTTCATTTAACTCATTTTCTCATATTTCTTATATTTTTCTTGTGCTCATTTAAATATTTGTATTAACTTTTTTATTTACAATATTTATAATATTTTTATTAAAAATATTGACATCATATTTGTATTTTTATTGCTCTTAGGCTATTATGAAATCATATTTTTAGACTTGTAGCTTGGTTGATGTTAGGAGTCCATTCAAATCATTTACGATATTTTTATATATTTTAATAATATTTTTACTATGATGATCGAGAACTATAATAAATTATTTTTTATTCATATATTATTCTCATATTGTTTAGGTGTCCAAAACACGTAAATAGAAATAATATTTAATTTATATAATCTACCTACAACGATCCGTTGTAGTCTAGTTGGTTAGGATACTCGGCTCTCACCCGAGAGACCCGGGTTCGAGTCCCGGCAACGGAATTCTTTTTAATCGTTTTATATTTCTTTGACTTTTTTATTTCTTATTTCTTTTCGTGCAACATCCAACTTTTTTTGTTTCAGTTTTTTCTTAAACTTTTCATTTATCTGTGTTTTGTTTTCTGTTTTTTTTTTTTTGTAATGAACTTTTTTTTTTGTCCCCGATTATTTTTAAAAATACTTTTTTTATTTTTTTCTACTTTATCTGATCGTGGTATGTTAGGGAAACAAAATTTGATAACGTCTAAGTTAGCCTCATGTGATTTGGATCTGTATGTACATGAAGTGTATGTCTCCGAATTGTTATATACATGCCACTTGTGCGGCCATATGTCCAGCAATCATTACTTTGAGAATATTTCTCCTTTGTAATGACTTGTTTTTATTGTTTTAGTTTTTTTTACTTTGAGAATAACTCATTTTATAATATTTCTTATATTTTTTTATTATCCCCGATTATTTTTAAAAGTATTTTTTATTTTTTTTCTACTTTATTTGATCGTTAGGGAAACAAAATTTGATGATATCTAAGTTAGCCCAATATAATTTGGATCCATATGTACATGATGTACATATCTCTAAACTGTCATATACATGCCACTTGTGCGACCACATGTCCAGCAATCGAGAATGCTTCTCCTTGCAATTACTTGTTTTAATTGTTTTAGTTTTTTTTTTTTACTTTGAGAATAACTCATTTTATAATATTTCTTATATTTTTATTATGCTTATTTTAAATATTTTTTTATAATATTTATAACATTTTATTAAAAAATATTGACATCATATTTGTATTTTCTTAATTATCATTGCTTGAAGGCTATTACGAAAACATATTTTTAGACTTGTAACTTAGGTGGATGTTAGGAGTCCATTCAGATCATTTATGATATTTTAATATATTTTTATAATTTTTTTAATATGATGATGAAGAACTATAATAAATTATTTTTTATTCATATTTGAGTGATATTATTCTTAAACTATTACATATACTTATTTGAATCCTAACATAATATATAAAATAGTTTCTAGTAAGTTTTAATTCAATCTAACTCATTTATAATAATTTTAAATAGGTTTTACACTAATATTTTTATTATGATGGTCAAAATACTATAATGAGCAAGAAACTTTTTGATGGATAATCTGAATTTTTTTTGAGCTAGGAGAGCTATTTCAGAAAAATAAAAATTATTATATATATAATAATAATAATAATAATAATAATAATAATAATAATAATAATAATAATAATAATAATAAGCTATTAGTATACTACTGCTACTCCTTTATCCTATAAAATTAAAATTAAATTAAGTACTTATTAATACCCAGAGCTAACTTGAATTAAAAATATATAGAAATATAAATATACCACAAATATTTGACATTATCAAAAGTCAAGAAGAAAATATATGAAT